TGAGCCTGAGATCAGTGGACTCAGTGGTCTCCTTTAAACTCACCTGTTGAGGCGTTTGGGTGACCTTCTTCACGACCCTCTCGAGGTGATTCTGTTCCCATTCCACCTTTCCTGGGATCCATTGATTTCCCTATTTCCTATTCATTTTCTCTCTCCCTTACTTTTTTGTTCTTTTCTCCTTTTAACCATGTTTGTAATCATTTAAGAATTCTTTTTATACTTAAATTTGTAGTTTTTGTTTTTGTGAAGCGCCTCGTGAGTTTTATCTTCAGATGCGGCTCCTAAAAGATCGTCTTCTTCTTCTTTGGATGAAGCAGACGTAATTTCCAGGCAAGTATTTTAGTGCATTTTAACTTTTTGCCCCACATGTGGCGATAAAAAGAATCGCAGATATACCCGTGCTGGTGCTACAGTGTGTGTTTGTGGTCAGATGGTAAATCTACACACGAACCAACTCAACAACGTTTCCCTGTCTGAGAAAAAAGTCACGCAAAACCTCTGTAACCCTAACCCTAACACAACACTAGAGTAAACAACATGGCGGAGGAGGAACCATCACCTGCTCCTATTCGTCTTTATTTATTCCATCAAAATTTTAAACTCTAAAGTTGACCTTGTTTCAACTTCTTGTTTTGTTCTTGTGAAGCACCTTGTGATTTTTATCTGGAGACGAACACACCGCCGCCTGATACCTCAGAGCAGCCAATCAGGGGGTGGGTGGGCGTGGGCAGCAATAGTGACTGATCCCTGAAACGGCTCATTCTGGAAGGTACTGAAAATGTTAAGGACAAACCTGCTGAGATTGCTTTATGTGAGAGGGTTGTTCATAAACATGTTTTATATCGATCATAGGACAATTATAACTTAAAAGTGTAACAACACGTCTCCTTTAAGATCATTTTCTTTTAGATATCTGTGCAAATGTGTTTGTACAGGCAAATCAACACACAGGACTTCTGTTTTGTTGGAAAGCACACTGAACTGTTTTAAATCATGCCATCTCCATAACTCTACTCCTTACAAAACCATGAAACCCTAACCCTAACCCTACCTGGACAAGGCTGACGTCCTGCACCGCGTTAATTACAACCCTCCACTTCTTGCATCTTCCACTCAGTGAGTTAAAAACAATTTCTTTCAGAGCAGACAGTAGTGCACCATCTCCTATCTCACCACTGTCAGGCTGATTTTCCACAGGTGAGGAGCGGAGGGGTTTGCAGCTGCAGAAGATTCCCGATCAGGAACTCGGGTATAAAAGGAGGATGGAGACACTTCACTAGGCCGGATGATTGCACCAGTATAGGTAGCCCCAGCCACTCGCTCTTGTTCTTGTAACTTGTTTTGACCTTCGTTTTCTGGATTTGTTGGATTTTGAACTTGGACTGATTTTTGGATTACCCTAACTTTTGGTGTTTCCCCTCTCCCAGGATCTCATTACCTACCTCATCTTCGCTGTTTAAACCCTGGACTATTCACACCACGTCTCATCCTCCTCCGTTGTTCCTGTTTGGACCCTCTCCGCTGCCTCACCTATTCCGGATCACCCCTGGACTCATCAGAGCCCCCCCCCCCCCCATTCTCCCCGAGCTTTGAATGAACTGGAGTTATCGATCTACCCCACAGGACTTCCCTGTGCTCTTTTTGTTCTCCTGTATAATAAAGACTTGACTTTAATTCACCCGGTTGTACGAGTCAGATTTCTGCGTGTCTTGGGTTAAACACATACCTCGAGTCATGACAAGTAGAGCTATTTCTACCCAAATGGTATTTACCTTACATCTAAAACATACAGTAGCTACGATTCTCCCTTCATTTAGCCACCGTGTGTTTTATGTAGTCTTATGAGTAAAAATATACAAACACATCCAGTTCTATTATCAGCTGATTCTCATTCAGAACCAACAAGTCCATAGCAACTAAATCCAATTCAGATAATCAGACTCGGTGGAATCAAAATTAATAATACATTTTATTTCAACAGCGCCTTTCTAAACACTCAAGGACACTTTACAGACAGAGATAAAATACACAACAATAAGATAGAACAGCATAAAACAGACAGATTGGAACAGGTGGGTGTTGAGTCTGGTTTTAAAGAGAGTGAGGGAGTCATCACGGAGGTCAGGAGGGAGTGAGAGCTGGGGAGCAGAGCGACTGAAGGCCCTGCTCCCCATAGTGACCAGACGGAGAGGTGGGACAGAGAGGTGGATGGAGGAGGAGGACCTGAGGGAACGGGTGGAGGTTGAAGGATGAAGGAGGTCTGAGAGGTACGGGGAGCTAGGTTATGGATGGCTTTGAATGTATATAGCAGAATTTTGAATTGGATTCTGGAAGTGACCGGGAGCCAGTGGAGCTGCTGAAGAACAGGAGTGATGTGGAGGGAGGGAGTTCTGGAAATGAGCTCAGAACTGTCAAACTCAGTGGTCCCAATCACCGGGCCACGGGCCGGTACCGTTCTCTGGATCATTTGGTACTGGTCCACATGGAAAAAGAAGCTCCT